CAGCCCTCCGACCTCTGCGACAGGGACCCCCACTCCAGCCCTCCCGACCTCTGCGACAGGGACCCCCACTCCAGCCCTCCCGACCTCTGTGACAGGGACCCCCCGCCCCGGCCCTCCCGACCTCTGCCTCAGGGCCCAGCACTCCAACCTCTGTGACAGGGACCCCCACCCCAACCCTCCCGACCTCTGTGACAGGGACCGCCACCCCAGCCCTTCGACTCTCTGTGACAGGGACCCCCACCCCAGCCCTTCGACTCTCTGTGACAGGGACCCCCACCCCAGCCCTCCCGACCTCTGTGACAGGGACCGCCACCCTGGCCCTCCTGACCTCTGCCACAGGGCCCAGCCCTCCGACCTCTGCGACAGGGACCCCCACTCCAGCCCTCCCGACCTCTGCGACAGGGACCCCCACTCCAGCCCTCCCGACCTCTGTGACAGGGACCCCCCGCCCCGGCCCTCCCGACCTCTGCCTCAGGGCCCAGCACTCCAACCTCTGTGACAGGGACCCCCACCCCAGCCCTTCCGACCTCTGTGACAGGGACCGCCACCCTGGCCCTCCCGACCTCTGCCACAGGGCCCAGCCCTCTGACCTCTGCGACAGGGACCCCCACCCCAGCCCTTCGACTCTCTGTGACAGGGACCCCCCGCCCCGGCCCTCCCCTCTCCAGGCTGGAAGGTCACCAGCACGCCCCACCCTCGCCTTAACACAGAGGCAGAGCACGCGCGATCACGCTGGCTGCGAGGCACCAAGCCCCACCTCGTTAACTTCCGACCGTTCCCGCCCTTGGCACCCTGCGCTATTACATCACCCAGAGCCACACAAGCCCAACGCGGCCCCAGCCACGCCCCAGCAGCCCACACCCCACCCGTTACTCTACCCTGGGTCTCCTGGGGTCCTCAGAACCTGAGGCCCCAACAGAAAAGCGGCCTCTTCTTCGGGGCCCAACGCTGGACTCCTGCTCCTGCCGGGGATCCCGGAGCCACCCCGCCCGGCCCCATGCTGCTTCTTGGGCGGGGCGGGCAGCTCACTGTCAGGGACCAGCGCCTCACTGGGCTGCGTCCGCCCACCTGCTGAGTGGGGTGCTGGGGAGCAGGGCCTCAGCCCACCTTCTCACCACTCTCGTGCGGCCAGGCCGGAGCAGGCTGGTCTGTCCCCCATGGAGCAACAGCCCCCAGCCCAGCTCAGCCCCATCGCACCTGTGGGGTCCCGGGGCCCTGCCTGGCGCAGCCTGCACACACCAGGAAACCAAGCCCCCCCAGCCCAGCTCAGCCCCATCGCACCTGTGGGGTCCCAGGGCCCCGCCTGGCACAGCCTGCACACACCAGGAAACCAAGCTCCCCAGCAGGGCTCGGCCCCATCGCACCTGTGGGGTCCCGGGGCCCTGCCTGGCACAGCCTGCACACACCAGGAAACCAAGCTCCCCAGCAGGGCTCGGCCCCATCGCACCTGTGGGGTCCCAGGGCCCCGCCTGGCACAGCCTGCACACACCAGGAAACCAAGCTCCCCAGCAGGGCTCGGCCCCATCGCACCTGTGGGGTCCCAGGGCCCCGCCTGGCGCAGGCCTGCACACACCAGGAAACCAAGCCCCCCAGCAGGGCTCGGCCCCATCGCACCTGTGGGGTCCCGGGGCCCTGCCTGGCGCAGGCCTGCACGTACCTGGAAAACCAAGCCCCCCCAGCAGGGCTCGGCCCCATCGCACCTGTGGGGTCCCGGGGCCCCGCCTGGCACAGGCCTGCACGCACAAGGATACCACACCCCCCAGCAGGGCTCGGCCCCATCGCACCTGTGGGGTCCCGGGGCCCTGCCTGGCGCAGGCCTGCACGTACCTGGAAAACCAAGCCCCCCCAGCAGGGCTCGGCCCCATCGCACCTGTGGGGTCCCGGGGCCCCGCCTGGCACAGGCCTGCACGCACAAGGATACCACACCCCCCAGCAGGGCTCGGCCCCATCGCACCTGTGGGGTCCCGGGGCCCTGCCTGGCGCAGCCTGCACACACCAGGAAACCAAGCCCTCCCAGCAGGGCTCGGTCCCATCGCACCTGTGGGGTCCCAGGGCCCTGCCTGGCGCAGGCCTGCACGTACCTGGAAAACCAAGCCCCCCCAGCAGGGCTCGGCCCCATCGCACCTGTGGGGTCCCAGGGCCCCGCCTGGCACAGGCCTGCACACACCAGGAAACCACGCCCCCCAGCAGGGCTCGGCCCCATCTCACCTGTGGGGTCCCGGGGCCCTGCCTGGCGCAGGCCTGCACGTACCTGGAAAACCAAGCCCCCCAGCAGGGCTCGGCCCCATCTCACCTGTGGGGTCCCGGGGCCCCGCCTGGCACAGGCCTGCACACACCAGGAAACCACGCCACGGAATTCCTTCCACCCCAGCTCAGCGCTTCCACACACACACACCGCGATCCTCACCAACACCACACTTGCCTGTATGTCTGCCCCGAGGGCCTCCCAGCACCACTCAGCACAGGCCCTAGTCCCAGGCCACTGCCACGGGGGGGGGCCAGCCACGGCCCAGACGCTCTGCTCAGCCAGGCCCGAGCCCCCTCACAGCGCCTTCAACTCATCACGCTCCCAAAGAAAACCTGAAACCACTGCCCGGCTTTCCTATCAGAAAACACAGAGCAGCCTCCGCTGCCTCCTGGTAAAGTCGCTCCTGCTGTGCACACCCAGAAACAGCAGGAATTGGAAACATTGTCTCCACGTTGCTGCTGGCTGTTTACCTTGAAAAGCCAACGACTGAACTGCTGTCCTGGGTACGAGGGCGAGGTCTGCCTGCTGACCCGGGCCAGCACCCTTGGCCGTGACCAGGACACACACTGCAACCCCAGGAGGCGGCCAGGCCCCCAAGGGCCCCCACTGCCTGCAGCCGTCAGCATAGGGAAGTGCCCAGGCATCGTGGCCGCCCCCAGCCGGACGCCAACCTGACTAGGCCTAGGTCCAGACCAGGGCACCCGGCGCTCTGCATGGACGCCAGCCCCGTGTCTGCTGCACCAAGCTGCACTTGACTACCATTTCCACAGCAGGAGGGGGCTCCTGGGAGAGAAGAGCCTTCCGCCTGAACTTCACTACTGTATCCTTTCCCTACTGTGTAATGGAAACAGCGATCGGCCGCACACAGGCCGCACCGGCCACACAGGCCACAGCAGGTGTCCATTACTCCAGGCCGCAGAGAGCAGGACCCAGCGAGGACGGAAGAGGAGCACACAGTCAGGACGGCAACCCCGCAGCCGTGGAGAAGCGAAGGCACGTTCCCGGCCTGCAGCTCTGGAGAGGCTGAGCCGGGAGGAGGCCGTGGGGACGGGGCTCAGGGTGCGGGCTGCTGGCACAGCCCCTGGCTGCACCCCCACGATGCCCACCTGTCCACACAGGCAACGCTGCCTCTCTCTGAGCACACGGGGCTACCGCCCAGGGCAGTGCCACGTGCTCGCCGTCGGAGCACGGTCACGGCCTCAGGCCCCTGCCCAGTCTCCCTGGACGCCAGCTCCCCGTCCCGCTGCAGGACTCCTCACGCTGGGCCCCGTCACCCTCCCAGAATTCCTCTGTAGCTGTCTCGGCAAGCACCAGGCCGAGCCGGGCATCGCTCCACCTGCCTGTCTCACGGGGGCGTGAACGGCGACCACACCCGAGTCTCTCAGCCTCTCCTTTCTAGGCTGCGTTGTGCAGTCAAAGAAACACGCATCATGCTACAGGGGGCTCTCGATGCAACAGGGGCCTCTCGTTTTTATCCTCACACACGGAAAAACAAAATAACCATTGTGCTTTCTTTTGCTCTAATTTCTGCAGAACGATTTAACTTCGAGAAGCATTTTCTTACAAAGTGCCTTCCAGCAATTTCCTAAGTGGGCAGCTGAAGTCCTGGGAGGGGCTGACTCACACAGGGCCCGGCCCTGGAGCTGCATCCCGCCCATCACCGGAACGCAATGGTCCCTGGTGCCCCAGAGGGGTCTTCTGACTTCACCAAGACGGCCGAGAAAAACAGCATCGACCTCTGGAAGATGAAGCCGACTGTGAGCAGCTTTCTTCCACCCCTCCCGGCCACCCGTAACGGCTCCGCCAGGAAGAGCTTTGGACGGGGGACTCCCAGCTCCGAAACAGCACCTGTCCCGCAGCTTGGCCACCCGGGGGTTACCTGGCAGCAGTGCCGGCCCCCCGAGGTCCTGCACAGATCCCGGCAGAGCGGGGCGGGCGGCACAGCGTGCAAACCTCAGTGACTACAGTCAGCCTGCCGCAACAGGTGCTCCGAAGCCAGGAACACCTGCCCCCAGGCAGGGCTCTCCCCCCGGGCTGCCCTCCCGCAGAATCCAACAGCAAGAACCCTGTGGCTCCCCAAAGACAGGACTGGAAAAGCCGGGGCCCTTCGAAGAGGGATTTTCACCTCCAGCCAAGCCAGTCAACGAAAGGACACTGACTAGGCCGCCGCTTCCTGGGAAGACCACATCCTAAAAGCCCAGCCTGTTGCAAGCACAGCTTAGGGTCCCGCACAGGGACACGCAGGGCCAGCTGGGGAAAGGGAGCACCTGCTGACTGACGGACCCCAAACTGAGCACGGGGGACTTTACCAGCGTCCTTTGTCCTAGTAGGAAAGTTAAACCACCACCCCCCCCCTCCACACACACACACACAAGCACCCGACCGGCCACTCCTCAGCACCAACAGCGGGCTGCAGGGCGGACCGCGCGTCTCCAGGCCCAGAGCGCCTGTGCCTCCCGCGGCCAGGGACCCCTCCCGGGACAGGGACCCCGGGGGTGGGGGAAGGGTGCTGCTGCCTGCACCATCTGTGCCCTGAGGACCCGGACACCCCACTGGGGGCGTCGCTCCTTGCACCGTCTGTGCCCTGAGGACCCCGGGCATCGCCGAGGTTGGGGGGCTGCAAACCTAGAGGTGGGATCAGCTATTTCGGGGGACACTGAGCAGGAGAGCAACTTTTGAAGGAAACTAGAAACCTCGCGAGTGGACGCTCGCCAGCCCGCCCGCCCGCCAGCCGCGGGACGCCAGCACTCACCTCTGGGGCCAGGAAGTCCCACCACCCCGGGGCCACCGTCCGTCCCGCGCCCCCAGCCGGCCCCCGACAGCGATGCGCCCCGGCCCCTCCCGTTCTGCGCGGCCGGCTCCACCCGCCACGCTGCGATTGGCAGGCCCGGGTCGTCCCGGGTTCCCATTGGCCGCCGCGCCTGCCGGTTCTCGGCCGCGCCCCGCCCCCGCGCCCGCGCATTCCTGCGAGGCCACGTGGCCGCCCTCGCCCCCCTTCCTCAGCCCAACGCCCCGCCCGGGCTGCGCACGCGTGGGAGGGGTTCGGGGCGGGGGCGCCCGGGTCTGCGGAGCATCGCCCGCACCCCCGTGACGCGTCGGGGTGCTCCGTGGGGAGGGGGCGCAGGGCGGACAGCCCACCCCGGCCACCGTCACCGGCGAGTCCGCCCCCACCGGCTGCGCTCACCCGGACTGTGGCGTCCGCGGCGCCCCTCTGAGTCCCGGGCGTCGGGGAGCGCGGCGGGACCGTCCCTGTCCTGGGCAGTTTGGCCGCTGGGAGCTGGGCAGCGGCAGTCCGTCGCAGGACCCCCGCAGAGCTGCGCCCTTGGGACCCTGGCCTGGGCTCCCGTGCGGGGCCTGGCGTGGCTGGCGTTTGGGGAGTGACCCGCGTGCACAGGCTTCCTCAGCTGCGCTCTGGGGACCCTGGCCTGGGGCACCTGGGAGGCCGCAGGTGCGGGGCCTGGCGCTGGGACTTCCCCGCTGTGTGCGGGCTCCCCGTGTCCACTAGGCTGCACTGAAGAAGCGGCGAGGGAGAAGGCTGTGCCACCCGGTGCCGGCAGCCTAGTCCTGACCTCTGCTCGCCGGAGTTCCCCGAGCGATGCGCATCCTGTTTCAGCGGTGGGCTTTCTAGGCCTGGGGCAGCAAGCTTGTCCCTGCGCAGGTGCGGCGGCCCGCAAGTGGACGGGTGGTTTCCGGGCAGTGTTCCCGGGGGCTCGTCACACTGCGGGTACAGGGCGTGGGGCCCCTCAGGGCGACTCTCCTCCCCTGCAGGGTGCTCTGACTTCCACAGGGACAGTGGAGGGTGAGGCGTCACCGCGGTGAGAAGTCCAGCACTCAGCCCTCGTCCACCCGACACCCGGGAGCCTGGCACTCAGCACCTTTCCCCAGGGACCAGAGACGGGGACGTGGAACAAACTGCGTTTCCTCGCGAGATCAGGCAGCGGGGGTGGGACCACAGGGCAGTGCCCGCCACGCCTGGCAGAGAGGACCCTGGCGGGCTGAGAACCCCGTCAGCTGGCACACTCTCCCACACCGGCCGCTGCTTCCGGAAGCGCTACCTGGAGAAGCTGGGATCATCCTGGGGTTCCCTCTGTAACCTATGGTGTTGTGAAAAGGTTGTAACATGTAAGGCCAGTCAGCACTTGCTGATCAACTATAGCCTAATTCCACTGCAGCTGAGAAAGAAAAAACTGGGATTTCAGTCTGAAAATTCAGAGACTGGGGCTGGCACCACAGCTTAGTGGGTAAGCTGCTGCCTGCAATGCCAGCATCTCATGTGGGCGCTGGTTCAAGTCCTGACTGCTCCACTTCTCACCAGGTGCTAATGCGCCTGGGAAAGCAGCAGGTGGCCCACGTGTGTGGTTCCTGCCACCCACATGGCAGGCCTGGATGGAGCTCCTGGCTCCTGGCTTCAGCCTGGCCCAGCCGTTGCAGCCATCTGGGGAGTGAGCCAGTGGAGGGAAGAGCCCTGTCTCTCCCCACCCCCATAGCTCTGCCTTTTAAATGAATAAATAAAATCTTTGAAACAGTTCTTCAGCCCTCTGTGCAGTGTTAGCACTTGTCATTTATCTAGTGCTATAAGAGAAGGCAGCAGGGGCTGGCGCTGTGGCGCAGCTGGTTAAGCCACTATCTACAGTGCTGGCATCTCACAGGGGCGCTGGTTCCAGTCCCAGCTGCTCCACTTCCGATCCAGCTCTCTGCCGTGGCCTGGGAAAGCAGCAGAAGATGGCCCAAGTCCTCGGGCCCCTGCACCCACTGGGGAGACCCAGAAGAAGCTCCTGGCTCTGGCCTGGCCCAGCCCGGGATGTTACAGGTATTTGGAGAGTGAACCAGCAGTTGGAAGATTCTCTGTCTCTGTCTCTCTCTCTCTTTCTCTCTCTCTCTCTCTCTCTCAACTTGCCTTTCAAATAAAATAAATAAATAATTAAATATTTTTTAAAAAGATAAGGGAATAGAGGTAGAAGGACCCAGCATGGGGGAGTGTGCAACTTCAGAGACAACATGAGTGTGTACACAGAAAACCCCAAATAGCGCACGAATAACCATGAGAACTGAAACTGGAGTGTGGGAGTTTGAGATGGATCAGAGTCCCTGGAGAGAGGCCAGCAAATGAGCCGCCAAGCTTCAGGACACAGAGCGCACCGGCCGCTCAGGAAGGACTAAGTGGCACGAGGCTGAGGCTGGGCAGGGTCCCCTCCTCTCGTGATGTAGGTGAGGAAGAAGGCGAGCCTCAGGCTGGGAGCGGACAGCGGGCGCCTCCCCTGCCCCGTGCTGTGCGGCCAGAACAGAGTGCCCGAGACCCGGCCATTTACAATGAACGGAAACTGACGGCCACATCCTGGAGTCGGCTGGCTCCTGCTGGGGACTTCCTGCAGGCCATCCGTGCAGAAGGCAGAGCAGGGGCAGCGCGGGGAAGCAGGGGAGAGCACCGGTGACAGCGAGCCTGGCCTTGGGTGAGGGACCCACCCCTGCTACAGGGGCAGGAAGGGCGGTGCGCATGTGACCACACCCCCAGGCCCCGCCCCCAACATTGCCCCATCGAGGGTCAAGTTGCCCACACGTGAACCATGGCCCCGTAAACACAGACCGGCTGAGAATCACAGATGAAGAGAGGCCTCTGAAACACGGCTGGAAGCCTTCCGTGCATCCCGGGAGAGCGACCGCAGGCCAGGGAGAACAGGAGTCGGGGCTCAGTGCTCTTACGTCCAGGAAAGTCCACGCTAAAATCACGATGCGATGCCGCAGCTCCCACGAGGAACTGGAATCCCGGCCCGAGAGAACACAGGTGGGCGGGGCTGTGGTGCACCTGCAGCCGCTACGTGGTACTGATGGGATGCGGCACGCACAGCACACACAGAACTGGCTGGCGTGCTCTCAGAGATCAAGATCATGGAAACCCACGCCTCCCAAGAGACTCTCAGGGGAATTTTCTATCGGATCAACTGTCCAGAAGAGGCCAGAACTACTGGAGAGAACCCAAATCCCATGCCCAGGTGAGGGCATCAACAAAGGGCGGCCCATCCAGCAGCGGGGTGTGGTGCTCAGAGGCAGGGCTTAACCTCCAAAGCACGGAGCTTATGGACCGAGACAGAGTGCACTTCCCCTGCCATCCACGGGTTCACTCCCCGGATGCCAGGGGCCTCACCTGGCTTCCCCTGCGAGTGGCAAGGATCCAAGACTGGGGCCGTCACCTCAAATCCCAGGGTCTGACCAGTGGGTGAACCCAGGACTGACAGCAGGGGTCCTACCAGTGGGTGAACCCAGGACTGACAGCAGGGGTCCTACCAGTGGGTGAACCCAGCACTGACAGCAGGGGTCCTACCAGTGGGTGAACCCAGGACTGACAGCAGGGGTCCTGACCAGTGGGTGAACCCAGGAATGACAGCAGGGGTCCTACCAGTGGGTGAACCCAGGACTGACAGTAGGGGTCCTGACCAGTGGGTGAACCCAGGACTGACAGCAGGGGTCCTACCAGTGGGTGAACCCAGCACTGACAGCAGGGGTCCTACCAGTGGGTGAACCCAGGACTGACAGCAGGGGTCCTACCAGTGGGTGAACCCAGGACTGACAGCATTGGTCCTACCAGTGGGTGAACCCAGGACTGACAGCAGGGGTCCTGACCAGTGGGTGAACCCAGGACTGACAGCAGGGGTCCTACCAGTGGGTGAACCCAGGACTGACAGCAGCTGTCCTACCAGTGGGTGAACCCAGGACTGACAGCAGGGGTCCTACCAGTGGGTGAACCCAGGACTGACAGCAGGGGTCCTGACCAGTGGGTGAACCCAGGACTGACAGCAGGGGTCCTGACCAGTGGGTGAACCCAGGACTGACAGCAGGGGTCCTACCAGTGGGTGAACCCAGGACTGACAGCAGGGGTCCTGACCAGTGGGTGAACCCAGGACTGACAGCAGGGGTCCTGACCAGTGGTGAACCCAGGACTGACAGCAGGGGTCCTACCAGTGGGTGAACCCAGGACTGACAGCAGGGGTCCTGACCAGTGGGTGAACCCCACCCTGAGGATGAACCAAACCAACCTGTGCGATGCGACCAGGTGACGACCAACTAGGAAGGGGCACCGAGGAATCTGGGGAGCTGATGAAAATACCGGAGATGTAGACACAGACGAGATGACCAGAGGCTTGACGGACAGGAGGTGGAGGAGGGTGGGGGAGGGAGGAGGCAGCTTGGAGCCTCTTTGTGTGCAGAGGCGCCTGTCCTGCCCCCCCTCGCTGCACCGCAGGAAAGCCCCTGGCACACTGTGGGGGTGGCATAGGATGGGGCTCCCTCCCACACGGCCCTCTCCTGCCCGCGCCCTCCTGGCCGCTGGACAGCGGCTCTCTCTGCCCAGAGCTTGCTCTCTGCCTCCTGTTTGGCACTGAACGAAGCAAGAAAGCAGGCTCAGTTGTTGCAAGGGCTGCGGAGACAAAACGGCCACTGTTCGCCTCCCGGAACAATGCTTCCCTCTGCCATCCTCCTGACCCTCGGGACAGCGGCCTTATCGCCGAGGCCGCCCACCCCCAGCCCCTGCGCGGCTGCTCCTCGCTCCGTCCTGTCCTCCCCCACCCACGCTTCCACGGAGGGCCCGGCTGGCGGGCAGCCGGGAAGGACAGCGAGCACAAGGGTGGGCCATGCTGGAGTCCCTGTTCTGCTCCCTGCACGCCAGCACTGCGGCCTGGAGCTGAGGGGCGCAGGGGCTCCTCGGGGGCTGCTCTGTGCCGGGAGGCACAACAGCTTCCACGGGCAAAGAGTCTGCACCGGCGCTTCTGCAGCTGCCGGGCCCAGCCGGCCATTGGGTGCCCGGTGGGGCCCGAGCCAGATGCCGCCACCAGACCCCTCCTCCCTCGGAA